CTTCCTAGCCTCCTGGACGCCCCTGACCGCGAACTCATGCGCCGCCAGAAATAAAGCAGGCCTCTCAACTACTTTGCCGAACACCCTTCTGAATCCAGAGCCTCCGAATAACCCTCTGGGTCTTAATATCCCGAACCATATAACAAGTTCCGCCATGAAGTCGTTCTTCAAACAGAGCAGAAACCCAAGACTGAGCAAGATCCTCTAGAGCACCCCAGATGCCCCCCCCCCCCCCTGGCCAACTTATCAAAGGCCTTCTCCAGGTCAAACAACACAGCAGCAAGAATAGACACAGGCCCTGGCTCTCCTGGGGCTCCGAAATCGCCCCAGAATCTCATCAAAGCACGCAAGAGCATCTCGAGTAGCACGCCCTGGAAGAGCCCCAAACTGGAACACCGAGACCGCCGCGGCAATCCTAAATCTGAACGGCGCCAGAGCTAGCCGAGAGACCATCTTCCCCAAGTGCGCCCGAATATTCAAAATACCGTCACCTCCTGTTTTTCTCAGAAACACAGCCCCCCCGCCCTTGCGCTGATTGGGTATCTCCCAGCGAGACCCCACAGCTGCAACAAGAAACGCAAGCGGCAAGGCAACGAAAGGACGCGCAGGTTTCCAACGTTCGGCAACCGCTCCTGATGACTACTGTCTCAAGCAACTCTGTCCCACATCATCATCATTCACAATCTGCAATCCAGGTGCCGCCTTGTTGTTCGGTCAGGCCCCAACTGCTTTAGATACCTCGTTCGAGTTGAGCATCCACTAAGCACTGCAACTGATCGTTTACTCAAACTGTTGTCGGGCAAACCGTCTGCGGTCGCTCGTGCAGGGGTAGGTCGGAACCTTCAGAGATCTGCACGAGCGCCCGCGCGCGCGCGCCCATCTCGCGATCGATGTACATGCACGGAGCGCTCTCACTCCAAACTGCCACCATGGGGGCCGGCGTCTTTGGGGGCAATCCCTGAACGGGTTCATACACGCTGCGAATATCATGTTTGCGCCATGCCTCTTCAGCTTCCCGATTTCGACTTCTCTTCTTCGTCTGCCAACTTAGCGCCTCGACGTGCCCGCTTCCATTTGGCCATTGCGTGCACCACCTGTTGTGGCCCAGGGCGCCGACACTGAAGAACCGCCAGCCGCTTTTGAAGAGCATGCTGTCGTTAAATTCTGCCTACAGTAGCATCTGGGCGTTCTAGCTTCCCGCTTCGGATCCGCAACGAAGAAGGATGCAGCAGCATCAACAACAACAGCCTCCAACGCTGCTTAATACACAGTCGTGCTCTCAAAGGTGATACCTGTGCCACAAACCTGCTCCCATGGTAGGAGTAGCGCACCATCATGACGCTCTCGAATAAGACAATCCACCTTCTCACTAAACTGATTGCCAAGTCGAGTTCCTTCTTCGCACTGCTGGTCATCAGATAAAGTGTTCAACAACAACTGTCGATCTCATATTTGGGGTGCTTCGTTTCGTGCCCGTCGCTTGTATAACGCCCCAAAAGGAAAGGAAGCCTGCGCAACGCGATGGTCTCGAACTCCCCCCAGGGGCATTGCACAATGCTTCAACACCCTCGCCGCTCTGCATCTGCTTCCAGCAGCTTTAGCCATGACAAGACCCACTCGATGTCATGTCTTCGTGCCTGGGTGCTGCCACGCACCATCTGCCGCATTCGCAAGTCCAAAAGAATTCAGTATACGTAAATCATAATCACGAACAAACTCAAGCAGCGCATCTGCATGCAAGCTCATATCGCCGTCTCTGACTGCACACGGGAGTCTTTCAGCAGATCCACCTAGCTAGCCCACGGTAGAGCAGGCACACCTCCCATGATACATAATGGACTTCACGGCCTGATCACAATTAACCCAAAACTTGCCGATGGTCTGTACCACTTCGGCACGTGCATCTTGCCGATCCAAATGCGCACGAGTAGGGAAACTATCCACTGGTGCATTACCGTTCAGAATATAGTGGCAGGCCTCGTCCCCTCCGCGTCCACATAAAATCATGAGTCCGTACAGCCCGCCAGGGAACCAATCATGAACGCAACGTATCTGTGATGCGTCACATACTTTTGTGATGATTGCTGTAATCGCTCCGTCATGCGCATGAAGACTAGACTTGCCACTAGAATACACCATATACGATCTGCACACCCACGATGCTGTGAGAGGCAGGCATGTTCCCTGTAGGCAAACAGCGTCTATGTTCGTGTCCCCTGCGATACAACATATATCCGCCAATCTACCCACAGCTTTCAAATATTCACAATTATACGTCCAAGCTCTGAAATTTATCCGATGATCCCTTTTGCACGCGAAGTCGGTGATGAGAGTGATCTCTACCATCACTAGCACCAGCCACAGCCTGAAGACCAGGGACCAGTCTCGACCACGCGAGGGTCGTCCCATCTCACGATGGACGGTCGAGATAAGCTCGAAGGTCGCAATCTGGACGACCTCGCCCAGGCTGCAGGACGAAGGTTCGCAGTTTCCCGTACCACTTGCAGCTTCCAGTTTCCACTGTTACAGTTCTGACTATTGCTGTTTACTGTTCTGGTTCTGCTTCTTGCTGCTTACTGCTCCTTGCTGATGGACCGCGAGAGGGGGGAGGCCCAAAACGGACATTGCTTCCAGTTTCCACTGTTACAGTTCTGACTATTGCTGTTTACTGTTATGGTTCTGCTTCTTGCTGCTTACTGCTCCTTGCTGATGGACCGCGAGAGGGGGGAGGCCCAAAACGGACATTTCTACCACGCCCTGAGCGTGTGTTCTGTATTGATGGGATGGGTTTCTTTATATATATATATATATATATATATATATATATTAATAATAATGCAGATCGGCGGGGTCAGGGTCCAAAAACACATGGGATTTGCCATATTTCTGAAATCCGGTGGCATCCCTCACGCAGATCGGCGGGGTCAGGGTCAAAAAACACATGGAACGTGCAACCTGTTTGAAGTTTGCGGACACCCCTCACGCAGATCGGCGGGGTCAGGGTCCCAAAACACAGAGGATGTGCCACATGTTTGAAATTCGGTGGCACCCCATCACGCAGATCGGCGGGGTCAGGGCCAAAAAAACACAAGGGATTTGTCACATGTCCGAAATTCGGTGCCACCCCCCACGCAAATCGGCAGGGTCAAGGTCTAAATACATAGGAGGAAAAAATTACACCCCTGGGTCAGGGTCCAAAAACACAATGGATGTGCCGCATTTCTAACATTGGGTGGCACCCCTCACACAGATCGGCGGGGTCAGGGTCCAAAAACACATTGGGTTTGCGACATGTCTGCAAGTCGGTGGCACCCCTCATGCAGGTCGGCAGGGTAAGGGTCCAAATGCACTGGGATTTGCCACATTTCTAAAATCCGGTGGCATCCCTCACGCAGATCGGCGGGGTCAGGGCGCAAAAGCACACAAGATTTGCCACATGTTTGAAATTCGGTGGCACCCCTCACGCAGATCGGCGGGGTCAGGGTCACTTAAACACAGAGGATGTGCCACATGTTTGAATTCGGTGGCACCCCTCACGCAGATCGGCAGGGTCAGGGTCCAAAAACACACGGGATATGCCACATTTCTAAAATCAGGCTGCACCCCTCACGCAGATCGGCAGGGTCAGGGTCCAAAAACACAGGAGGGCCCCAAGACGGCCGACGAGGCCCCCGGGATGGCCCAAGAGGGCCCCAGGACGGCCCCAAGAGGGCGCACAGAGGGGGAACCCGAATGAAAATTTCTAGCTTTCGGTGCCAGGAGGCCTGAAAGAGGCCCCCAGGAGGCCACCAAGAGGCCCCAAGAGAGTCCCAAGAGGCTCCAAGAGGGCCCCAAGAGGCTCCCAAGAAGCCCTCAAAAGACCCCCAAGAGGCACCTAAATCTCCCCGCAATAGCCCCCGAGAGTCCTCTCGAGAGACCCCAAGAAGCGTACATGAGGACTCCGACCCGAAACCCAAGCACGGTCGCGGGATGGGCCGACGGCCATTTGACAGGTGGCATACTACTTTAGTCAACGGCCGCGGGCGGAAGCGCCGGCGGCGTGCCAAGTCGAAGCGGGTCCGCGCCACAGACTAATTAACAGCAGAAAACTGGAGCACAGTACTGCCAGAGTGCGCATGCAAGAGGCCGAGGCGGAAAAGACGGGAGAAACGCGGGAAAACCAACAGAGAGACGGGCGAGGCGGCAACTAAGCGCGGCCGAGGCCTCGGGGGGGGGGCTGCCGGGGCTGAGCTGAGGGGGACTGCCGTGTGCACAGCAGCAAGTCAGTCGGGCGTCACGCGTCGGAGAGTCAACGACGGCCAGGGGAAATGGGGCACCGAACCTCAGACGACGGCGTGGACACCAGGGTGGCCAAGGCCAACGAGACGATAGGTGGCATACGCGCCGCGTCACGACTTTCGATGCTGCGCACCACTTCGGCAAACACCCAGGGAGCGGCCGGTGATGCGCCGCCGGCGTCCTCGATACATACATACATACATACATACATACATACATACATACATACATACATACATACATACATACATACATACATATAATATATACATACATACATACATACATACATACATACATACATACATACATACATACATACATACATACATACATACATGCATGCATACATACATACAAACAAACAAACAAACAAACAGACAGACCTACCTACCTACCTACCTACATACATACATACATGCATGCATGCATGCATGCATACATACATACATGCATACATGCATGCATGCATGCATGCATACATACATACATTTGTATATACATATATATACATGTGTTTGGCCCTGGGGGGCCCAAATACCCATATCCACCGCCTGTCGAGATCTCCGATATCCATCCTCCAGGCGGTGGTTGTGTAGAGATCCCCGCCTCGGCAGAGGCCACTCCGGCGCCAAGAGTCACTCCTACGAGTAGCCGACAGCACTGGGCCACCTCGGCCCCCCAGGCCTGCTCCGAGCCCGCCAGGCGCCCGCCAGCCGGTCCTGACGCAGGAGCCCCACTTGCCCTCGCCCGCCTTGAAGGTGCCCACCTGCCGGGAGCGCGAGAGGGAACGCTGCAGTCAACCCGTGGAGTAAGGATGCGCGGTAAGGGTGCAAGGGCCTTGGAGGGCCATGTCGACACTTTGCGAGCGGGGCGCGGCCAGCGAGAGCGGCCAAGGATGGGGCGAAGGGGAAGGATGCAAGGGTAGCCTTGGGAAGGCTGCGCATTCTTCTTAAGCGGGTTGACTGTAGCCGGATGACATAGTGAGGGGGGAGAACTCGATCTGGAATCGACGATACGTCGCCGATAGATCCGCCATGGACCCACCGCCAGCGATTCCACACGTTCCTGGGAGAGAGTATCGAGCCCCTATCGGCGATGCATGGGCGAGTTTGGGGTCGATGCATGCCTCCCTGAGCCTCATTAACGCCATGGTGGCATGTGTGTCATAACTCGGATCTCTGGCAGCCGCTCGGCACGATCCAGGCACCCCCAGAACGCCCTCGGCAAGGCGCAGCCGCTGGAAGGCCGAGGCTGGAAAGCCGCCGATAATCGACGGAAATACTTGAAAACCTCGAGTCTTGAACGCGAAACGTTGCCCCCCTCCCCGAAAGTGTCCCCCCGAAGCGCTGCCCCTGGGAGCGCCGACCCGCGCCGAGCGCACGGGCGCCGCGGGCTGGCGAAGCCCAAGCGGCCCGCCACCTCCGACCCGCGCCGCCGCCCTATGGGCCCCACGGACATGCAGCGCGGCCTCAGGGCACTGGCAGGGGCCAGCTCCGTTTGGCAGCCTTTTCTTTTGTCTGCAGCGCTGGCGGACGCAAGCGCGTCTGTACGCAGGCGGGACGCGCCACGTACGGCACACGACGGCGGGTGGAAAAGAAGAGGGCGGCCGCGGAGGAGGGAGAGGGAAAGAGGCACGACCGCAGAGAGTCTGCAGGTGAGCGTTTTTGCTTCACTCCCGGGTAACAGTCGTTACCTGGGGGGGGGGCCTCGGGCGGGAGGGTAACCGTAACGGCGGCCGCGGCGTGCACCCACCAGGGTGCGTCCGCGCCACTGGCGCATCAATCGCCCGTGTGCAACAGCCCCTGCGTACACGATAATGCCCAACGCCTGCGTGCAACACACCGCAGCTTGTGTACACCGCAGTGCTTCCGTACACTACAACAGCCGCGTGCACCGCAGCACCACGTCGCCTATGTACACCGCAGTGCCTGTGTAAACCGCAGCAGCCGTGTGCGCAACAGCGCCTGCGGATACCTCGTTGCTTGCGTGCACCAGAGCGCTTGTGTACACTATAGCGCCTGTGAACACCACAGCAACCATGTGTACCGCAGCGCCTACGCACGCCACAATGCCTCCGTGCACCACAATGCTGGTGCACACCAGAATGCCAAACGTGCCAACGAGCACATTAGTAGCTTGCGAGGCCTCCTTGCGGGGCTCGCCACAGACCGCGGTGGCTTTTAGGACTCATCATCCATCTCCTCCTCCACCTTCTCCTCTTCCTCCTCCTGCACCTCCTCCTCCCCGTCTTCTTACTCTCCTCTTTCAACAATTCTACCGGCCTTCGTTGAGGGAGGGAATACGGTGGGGCATTTACAACCCACTTGTAAGCTAGGTGACCAGATGTAACCTCTCTGGCATCAACTCAAATAGCCCCCTATCCCCTTCGCAAACCCTGCGCCCATCCCAGGCGGGGTCTGAACTGGAACGATGAGGCCAAATCGGCTCAAAATCGGTCCCGAACCCCTCCCAATCCATCTGGTGCAATTTTTCACGCCAGATCCGTTTGCGATGATCCTGGGCCCCAAACACGGCTCCTGGAGACCGAACCCAGCACCTCGAACCTCTTCCGCCTTTTCCTGCTGACCGGAACCAATGCCGGCCCACCTCAGACCCTCAGCTGGCTCCAAGGGACCACGGCCCGGCCGCGGTCGGGCGGGTGGTAATGGGGGGGTGACCTACATGGGGAGTGGAGAAAAAAGCCCGTAGAGGGGCCCCCCAGAGAAACCCCTGTAGGCCCCGCACTTGGGCCACGCCCCGTTCAGGTCACCAATTTCAGCCCCAGTTCAGGCCCCTCCCCAGTTCAGGCCCCCCCTTATGAACCAAAGGGCCCCTTGAGGCCACCTATTCAGGCCACCCCCAGCTACCCTTAGGTCGGGCATATCCCCGTACAGGCGGATCTTGCATGGAAAATTAATCATAGTAAAAAAGATTCCATAAATATTCAAAAATAATCACCCCCCCAAAAAAAAACGTCAGTCGATTTTTCGACTATTTTTGAACATTCCCCCTGTAGAAGGACACGCCCGACTTAATTTCAGGCCACCCTTTTGACCCACAAGGCCCCTTGAGGCCACCCATTCAGGCCACCCCCCGGCTACCCCCCGCCCGGCGGCGGTGGCGCGGAGGGCGCGCAGGCCTGCGCCTCCGGCAGGTCCTCCTCCTCGTTCTCGTTCTCGTCCTCGCCCGGCGGCGGCCGCCTGCTCCCTCTCCTCCTCCTCCTCCTCCTCCTCCTCCTCCTCCTCCTCCTCCTCCTTCTCCTCCTCCTCATCCTCCGCCTCCGCCTCCTCCTCCTCCTCCTGCCCCTCCTCCTCCGCCTCCTCCTCCTCCGCCTCCTCCACCTCCTCGGCCTCCTCCTCCTCCTCCTCGTGCGAGGGGGAAATTCGAGACACCCATCCTCGAACCTATTATCATCACTATCATTATGATGATTATGATTATGATTGTTGGTATTAGTATTGTTAGTATTTTTTTCGCGCAAATATTTTGGAGAGGGGGAAGGAAGGGGGCAGAGGAGAGGACGCGAATCAACGATGAGCAGTGCCCCACACTTCTCACTCGGTGCAGCCTGCGACTACTGGCGAAAAGCGCACGAGACGAGGTAACACGTGCGGAAAACCCTGACATGGCAGATTCCCGCCTCCGCCGTGTCGATGCCTCAATGTGATCGCGGCTACAATGTAAACTCGCGCGTGCGTAGCCCATACTGGTTCAAATTGGTGGGACTCGCACTGGTGCCCAACGCAAGTGGGGAGGAGGGCGAACGACGAAAGCGAAAGAAGAGGGACAATAAGGAGTAGAGACTGGAGCACAGGCCCGCCAAACAGCGCGCGGTGCGGTAATCAAACACTGGGTCAAACTAGACGTGCAAGGGAAGAGGCGGCAGGAACGAAAGAGGGCAGAAGCGGCGGCAGCAGCGGCAGAGACGGCGGAGGAACGCCAGAAAACGGAAGAAAGGAGGCGTCAGGAATAAACGACCTTGCATGTACCCTTCGAGGGTTCCCTGGCCTTTGTTGGGGGGGGGGGGGGGGTGTTTTTTTTTGTTTTTTGTGGTTGTTTGGGTGGTTGTTTGTTGGGGGGGGTTTTGTTTTGTGGTGGTTTTTTTTTTTTTTTTTTTTTGCGGCGAGGGTTCCCTGGCCACGAGCATTGTTAGTACTGTTATTCGTATTGTTATCAGTATTCCTCTTCTTCTACTTCATCATCGTCAGCAGCAATCATCATCTTATCATCATCTCCTCCTCATCCTCAATCCTCATCCTAATCCTCATCATCCTCAGCATCATCATCATCATCATCATCATCATCATCATCATCATCATTTTCATCTCATCACGCAACATCTCATCATAATCACCATCATCAGCATCATCATCATCACCACCACCCCTTCCACCACCATCATCATCATCACCATCACCATCATCATCATCATCAGAGTCACCACCACCACCACCACAATCACCATCATCACCATCAACACCGCCTCCATCACCAGCACCAGCACCAGCACCAGCATCAGCATCAGAAAAATCATCATCACCACCATCATCACAATCATCATAATCATCATAATCAGCATCATAATCATGATCGTCGTCATCAGCAGCGTCATTATCATTATCGTCTCCATCATCATCGTGATCGTCATCGTGATCGCAATCCGTCAACGTCGTCATCATCAGCAGCAACCTCATCAGGATCGGCAGTGTCAGCAATATCAGTATCATCATCATCACCACCACCACCACCATCATCATCATCATCATCATCATCATCATCAGCATCATCATCATCGTCGACATCGTTTTCGTTAACATCGTCATCATCCTCACGACCATCACGACCGTCATCATCAGAGTCCACACCACCATAACCAACACCATAATCACCGACACCATCATCACCATCAACCACCACCCCTACTGTCATCATCAGCATCACCATCACCATCACCATCATCGTCATCAACACAACCACAATCATCATCATCATCATCATCCTCATCATCATCATCCTCATCATCATCATCATCATCATCATCATCATCATCATCATCATCATCATCATCATCAACACAACCACAATCATCATCATCATCATCATCATCATCATCATCATCATCATCATCATCATCACCATGGTCATCATCATCATCAGCATCATCACAATCGTTATTATCCTCACCATGATCACCATAAGAATCACATTGACGATCATCTTCAGCATCAGCATAATCAACGTCGTCCTCGTCGCCGCCCTCATCATCATCAGCATCAGCATCAGCATCAGCATCATGATCATCATCGTCATCGTCATCGTCATCATCATCATCATCATCAGAATCATCATCATTACCAGCGCCCTCATCAGAATCAGCATCGTCATCAGCAGCAGCATCATCATCATCATCATCGTCATCGTCATCGTCATCGTCATCGTCGTCATCATCATCGGAATCATCAGCAGCATCATCACCATCATCCTCGCCGTCGTCGTCATCCTCATCCTCATCCACAACCTCATCCTCATCAGCATCGACATCATCATCATCGTCATCAGCATCATCTTCATCAACATCATCATCACCACCACCATCATCATCAGCAGCATCATTATCCGCGGCATCATCGTCATCATCCTCACAAGCATCATCATCGTCATCAGCAACAGCAGTCTCATCACCAGCATCAGCATCATCATCGCCATCGTCATCAGCATCATCAACATCATCAGCATTATAATCATCACCATCATCATCGTCATCATCGTCACCACCACCATCAGCATCATCATCATGACCACAACCCCTTCCACCACCATCATCACACCACCACTACCACCACCACCACCACCACCACCATCATCATCATCATCATCATCATAATCATCATCATCATCATCATCATCATCATCATCATCATCATCATCAACATCGTCACTATTATCATCGTAATCATCATCATCCTCAGCGTCCTCACCATCATCATCATCAACACCACCATCATCATCATCATCATCAGCATCAGCATCAGCATCACTATCATCGTCATCGTCATCATCATGATCATCATCCACGTCATCATCGTCGTCATAATCATCACGAGCATCATCATCGTGATCATCAGCAGCCGTCTCATCATCAGTGGCGTCATCATCAACATCGTCGTCGTTATCATCAATGCCAGCATCCGCCTCATCAGCATCATTAACGTCACCCTGATCATCATCAGCATCAGGAGCATCGTCGTGACCGACGTCGTCGTGGTCGTCGTCGTCGTCGCCATCATCACCACCACCACCGTCACCAAAATAATCGCTATCATCATCATCAGCATCATCATCATCAGTATTATCATCACCATCACTGTCGTACTCGTCGTCCTCGTCGTCATCACCATACCATCACCGTCATCATCACCATCACCACCGCCAGAATATCCATCATGATCATCAGCCGCCTCAGCAGCATCATCGCCGTCGTCGATGTCACAGTGACCATCAGCAGCATCACAATCATCATCACAATGTTCAGTACCATCATCATCGTCATCAACAGCAGCATCATCATCCTCAGCCTCATCCTCATCATCATCAGCATCATCATCATCTTCTTCTCCTTCTTCATCATCATCCGCAGCATGAGCAGCACCATCATCATCATCAGCAGCAGCACCATCATCATCAGCAGCATCCTGATCATCACCAGCATCATAAAAAACACCCGCTTGACCATGAAAACTATAACCATTTGCCTGATCCGCAACATCCGTACCATCATCAGCATCTCCAGCATTATCATCGTCATCAGCTTCATCATCAGCAGCAATAGCAGCAGCAGCAGCATCAGCATCGTCATCATCAGCATCAGCATCATTACCATCGACAGCATTATCATCGACAGCATCATCATGCTCATCATCATCATCATCATCATCATCATCATCATCATCATCATCATCATAATCATCAGCACCATCAGCATCATCATGGTCATCATCAGCATCATCATCGACGTCATCGTGACCGCCGTCATGGTCGTCGTCGACGTCATCGTCACCATCACCACTACCGACACCATCATCACCATCATCAGCCTCAGCATCATCATCATCATCATCATCATCACCAGTATCGTCATCTTCGTCGTCAGCGTCAATATCATCATCATCATCATCATCATCATCATCATCATCATCGTCATCATCATCATCAGCATCATCATCATCAGCATCATCATCATCACAATCATCATCATCACAACCACCACCACCACCACCATCATCATCATCATCATCACCACCATCATCATCATCACCATCATCATCGTCATCAATATCATTGTCATCATCCTCAGCATCATCATCACCAGCATCATCATCAGAATCGTCATCATCACCAGCATCATCATCATCAATATCATCATCATCATCATCATCATCAATATCGTCACCGTCATTGTCGTCGTCCTGGACGTCGTCATCGTCATACCAGCATCATAGAAACCATCATCATCATCATCATCATCATCATCATCACCATGATCACCATCATGATCATCATCGTTCTTATCAGCATTATCAACGTGGTCGTCCTCGCCGTCATCATCAGCAGCAGCATCACCATCATGATCACCATCATCACTATGATCAGCATCATCATTATCATCATCGTCACCATCATCATACATCATCAGCATCATCATCAGCCGCATCATCATGGTCATCATCATCGTCATCATTATCATCACCAGCATCATCGCCGTCATCATCATCAACAACATTTCTTCTTCATTATTAATATCACCACCACCACCACCACCACCGTCATCGTCATCAGCAGCATAATCATCAATATAATCATCATAATATTCATCATCAGCAGCATCATCATCATCCTTAGCATCATCCTCATGAAAAACAATATCCATAATAATAGTAATATGCATCAGCATCATCGTCATCATCATCAGCAGCATCCTCAACATCATCATTATTGTTATTATCATGATCAGCATCATCACCATCATCGTCATCATCAGCATCATCATCGTCCTCATCATAATCATCATCAGAATCATCATCATCATCATCATCATCATCATCATCATCATCATCATCATCATCATCATCATATCATCATCATCACCATCCGTATCATCATCATCCCCATCCCCATCCCCATCCCCATCCCCCATCCCAATCCCAGTCCCTAGTTCCCAATTCCCTCCCTCCCCCCCTCCTCCCCCTCCAAGCCTCACCCTCCAGGGGGGGGCGCAGGAGGCGAGCGCAGGGCAACAACGAGGGAAAGAGACGAGCGGGGGAGAAAGGCGGAGGGCGCCCGCGGGCGGCCGGGGAGTAGCGGGGCCGTGAGGTGGGCAGCGAGCAGTAACAGGCGGGGACGTATCCGTGTCCACCGCCTGGGAACCGACGTCCTGAGCGCCTGAACGGACGTCCGGGGGCCGCCCGAGGATTCTTGCTCGTGCGTTTGAGGGTCTGCCGGTCTGGCGGATTTTGGACGGAAAAAAGAAAGCAGTCCAGAAATATTCCAAAACAGTCCCAAAATCGTCCCCAGAGAGGGGGGGGACAGGAGAGGGGGGGGGGGGACAGGAGAGAGGGGGCGGGGGGGGGGAAGGAGAGAGGGGGGGCAAGCTAGGTGCGCTCGCGTCATATCTGAAATCCTACCCCTCCCTCCCATACCTTACCATGGCGTAGATCCCCTCTCTACTCGCACAGTCGGATGTCGAGCAGGGCAATGATCCCGAAAGGGTACGCGATGCATTGTAGAGCACGGCATGGCATGGCGTAGAAGAGCACCGCAAAGAGTAGTATGTCACAGCATGGCGTGGCGTGGCGTGGTGAATAATTGCAGCACAAAGCTTTGCAACGCAAAGCATGGCATCGCACAGCGGCCCCGAACATAACATTGCATAGCCTGGCGTTGAAAATCAAAGCGTAGCATGGCAGAGCACGGCGTGGCACTTAAGCACTGCATATCACAGTTTCAGCTGAAGGCATGGCATCGCGCAGCGGAACGCAACGTAGCATTGCATTGCATGCCGTGGCATGGCACGGGAAATGACGCCAGCGCTGCAGCGGGAGCACGAGTCGGAACGAGCAGAAGCGCGGAAATGAGGCCAGCGCTGCAGCGGGAGCACGATTCGGATCGAGCGGAAGCACGGAAATGAGGGGCTCCAGCGCTGGCGGGTAAGCTCACGATTCGGAACGAGCGGGGCCCGAAAATTGAGGCCGGCGCCCCGTCAGCCGAGAAGCAGTCTTTGAAAGAAAAAATGCAGCGGAAAAATAAAACTGGCTGGGGAATCCTCGTGTGTTAAAAACAATACGCGGGGGGGGGGGGGGGGGGGGGGCGAAACTCCCAAATCTGTCATCAGGGATAGAGGAGAGTAGTCGGAAACCAAATTGCCCAACCAGCCCAACCAGCCACCCCGCAACCCCAGCCAACCCGCCACCCCGCCAACCCGCCCACCCCCGCCGCCTGCCCTCCGTCACCGTCGAGAGGGGGGGGGGAAGTGTTTCTTACAAGCGAAAACTACAAAAATCACCCTCCCGGGGTCCGACGGGACAGCGGAGGGAGGGGAAATCGCACCGTACTATGCGGGAGGGGGATTCGCGCCCGAGGTGCCCAAAGACGATTTGGGGCCTCAAATGCGGCACTGTCGTCACTTTATTACATTTCACCGCGCCCCCCTTCTCAACGGAAAGGCTCCCATCCGTGAAACTGTCGTCATTTTTCAGCCCCCGCGAGAGGCTTCTTGGAGGCCCCCAGAGGCTCCAGGAGGGCCCATGGCGGCCTCGGGAGTGCCTCGGAGATCTCCAGAGAGCCCCAGGAGGACCCACTCTGCACCGCGCCCCCCTTCTCAACGGAAAGGCCCCCATGATTGAAATTGTTTTCATCATTCCGCCCCCGCGAGAGAGTTCTTAGAGGGCCCACAGAGGCTCCAGGAGGGCCCATGGCGGCCCCGGAAGAGCCCACGAGATCTCAAGAGCCCCCCGGAGGACCCACTTTGAATTACACTCAGGGAGCTCCAGAGGGCCCAGGAGGCTCCAAGAGGCCCCGAGAGGCCCCGAAGAGCCCAAACAGGCCACAGGACCCCCAGCACGCTCTAGGAGAGCCAAGGCGACACCAAGAGGCTCCAGGACGGGCGTCATTCCCTCTTCTCCTCCTGCTCGTCGTCGTCATCCTTCTCCTCATCCGTCCTGCCTCAAATCCTTCCTCCCCCTCTTCCTCCTCCTTCTCCTCCTCTTTCTCCTCCTCCTCCTCCTCTTCCTCCTCCTCCGCCTCCTCCTCCTACCTCATCCGTAGCCTTGATGGCTCCGATAGCGCCGTGCGCGAGATCCGCCTCCTCCCCATCCGTCCTCCTCCCTCCTCCCTCCTCCTTCCCTCCTCCCTTCTCCCTCCTCCCCTCTCTCGGGAGCGTCACAAAGAGGCCCTCCGAGGATAATTTCACGACAACAAGGGCGCCGACACGATGAACAGACACCACGTCTGGGCTCTGGGAACGGAGTCGAAGACGAAATCTCGAATAACTTAGTCTTCGATGTTCGGGGCATTTTTCTGACCACCTGCGAGCCTTGTGGAAACTTCCGAGAGCCTCAGGGGTGGACGTGTGGCGCAAGAACACGAGTGGAGGAGGAGACAACACGACGCTCCACGGAGTAAACTGCACCCCATTGGTTTCTACCCCCGTGAGGGGCGTTACAGGGTATCAATATTTAATAATTGTAGAGGGGGGGGACAGGAGAGGAGGGGGGGGACAGGAGAGAGGGGGGGGGAGGGGGAAAGAGAGACGGGGGGACAGGAGAGGCAGGGGCGGGGACAGGAGTGAGGGGGGGGGGGACAGGAGAGGGGGGGGTGGGGGGGGCGGGGTCTGACAGGAGGAGGGGGGGCAGGAGAGAGAGAGGGGAGGGGGGGAGGGAAAGGAGAGTGGGGGGGGGGTGGGGGGGCAAGCTAGGTGCGCTCGCGTCATATCAGAAATCCTACCCCTCCCTCCCATCCCTTACCATGGCGTAGATCCCCTCTCTACTCGCACAGTCGGATGTCGAGCAGGGTAATGATCGCGAAAGGGTACGCGATGCATTGTAGAGCACGGCATGGCATGGCGTAGAAGAGCACCGCAAAGCGTAGCATCAACCTAGCATTGCATTGCATGCCGTGGCATGGCACGGGAAATGACGCCAGCGCTGCAGCGGGAGCACGAGTCGAAACGAACGGACGCGCGGAAATGAGGCCAACGCTGCAGCGGGAGCACGAGTCGGAACGAGCGGAAGCACGGAAATAGGGGCAGCGCTGCAGCGGGAGCACGATTCGGAACGAGCGGGGCCCGAAAATGAGGCCGGCGCCTCAGCGAGAGCAGCATTTTGAAAAAAATGCAGGCGAAAACCCAACTCCCGGGAATCCTGTGTGTAAAAAAGCAGGACGCGGGGGGGGGGGGCTACTCCCAGGACGCCATCAGGGGAAGAGGGAGAATAGTATTCATATTGAGTAATTTGTA